CTGCTGAAAAGCTGCACAAAATAACCTTGAACTGTGAGAAAGCATGGAATATAAAGGCAGTTCATCACCTAAAACTAACGTTCTTCAGTAGGGTGCATACTCTCCAAGTACTTTAAATTTGCAAGTTGCACCACCTATCTACCTCAAGAATGAAAATCAAACATTAAGTTTATTTCCTATAACCAAATAGTTTTAAAGAGAGATAATACAATAATACAAATACAATAAATACAGAATTTAAATGATCTCTATTAAATACAAGATAATAACTCATGCCAGATCTTCAGAAAATTCAAATGTGCTTGAAGTTTACTTGTTTCATAGGAGTTTGAAATCCAAATCATACCGATTATTGAGTTTTCATTGTGATTTTTGTCTTTATGGAAATTTTGCTTTATGAAACGAGACTTGAATTCATGAGAAATGAAGACATTGTTTAAAACAAAACAACAGGAACAAACAAAATCCATGCATATTCTTAAAAATATTCTATTTTACAGAAAAGTAATTATCGAGATTGTTGATGTTGTTGATATTTTGTGTGAGTAAAAGAACTGGACAAAGCGAAAACAGTAAGATTCCTTTACACAAGTATTTTCTGTACTTTTTAGTTCCGAAACACGGAATCTCAGCTACAGATTTTCAGAAAATATTCAATATAGAAGAAACTCTAATTTCCCATCTCTTAAAAAAATTAAAATAATAGAACCACTATAATTAGCTCCTGGTAACTTCCCCATTGCTATTTCCTTTTAAGTGAAGGCCATAAAGCTTTGTTATAGACAAGACTATGTAAAGGCAAACAACCAAGGCAACCCCACTGCAAGAAGCATTTGTAAGTACAGTTACTGAGCCTTCAACATTAATAATTAGGGAGTTTGAGAAGTGATTTTCTAGTGAAAAAAAGCTGATAGAAATAAATCTAGAGCATGCTATACCCATACACCTCAAGAATTATTCTTGCTTTTCATTCTTCTAACAAACTGATGTTTTGTAAAGCAAAATAATAATCATGATGAAGCTGAAGTTATGTGTAGACTAAACCTTTTACAGGTTAGATACACAGGCATGAAACAACAAAACACAAATGAATATATTACATGTTTGGAAAAAAAATGAAATTCAGAATGTACTCAGAGAATTGTGAAGTCTTTGGGCTCCAAGTCAAGTTTAAACATCAATCTAGTGTCTTAGCAGCTCAGATTGCCAAATAACATAAATTCACAGAGAAATCATCACTGAATATCTTCAAGCCTTACTTTCAGCCATTTAGTCATCATAACATGCATTCTTGCTACTATTGGTGTTTCTGCATAGCCTGTGGATCTTATAAGTATTAGACAAACAAATTAATGTACGCAGTTAAAGAAAACAAGTGCATGTATCTGTGAGCACCTGTATTTAATGTATTTAATAATATTATCAACTCAGTACTAATAATCACTGAAATCACTAGTTCAGATTTTCAGTTGAAAAAAATATTTTTAAAGCAGTATTAAATGAGGCCAATTAACATAAGGACTAAGCTTTAATATATCTATTTTGGACACATTCCTGGACCTCACCACAGAATTTAGTAAATTACTCAGAAGGGTCTTTGCAAGTAACTTTTCTCCTTGATTATTCATCACTCTGCTTCAGAAGTGGCCAGTGTTTTGTAATTACAAATTGTCACAGCAATTATTCTACCATCTTCTAACTATTTTCTAATGCATCCTATATTAGTTCTTACATAATTTTACCTGGTGTCTAAATTTACTAGGTTATCTGTCATGGTTTGCACATTAAGGCACATTAACTTTAACCAAATTATCATTTTTCAAGTTTTAAACCAAAGCTAACAGTGTCTTTAGCAATGATACTCTTGCTCTCTGTGTCACAGGCCATCAAATTATAAATGAAATGGCCTTGATTAGGACAAGAGCTATTACATGGACAACTACAGCAAAAAGATCTTGCTAACATCCATTGAAGCTTTATACAGAGTAAGTTATTAGGTGCATGATACCCTTATGCATTTGCTCCACAAAGGCAATTTCTAATGCAATGTGATTAATTACACCAGGATTTCACAAATTAGGAAAGCATTCCCTCAGGTTTTCTGCGTACCTATACAGACTGGTGGATTGGGCTGCCAGAAGTACCGGTTTTCTACCTGAATGCAGGTTATTCTCTCATCTCCTTGCAGTTCATATCCAGGGTCACACTGGAAGAGGACAGTGTCTCCAGGTTCTCTTCCATCCCCATTTCTAGTTCCATTCATGGGGACACCAGGATCACGACAGGCAGTAGCTACAGAGCCTATATAGGAGAAGCAAAAAATAAAAAAAAAAATAAAAAGAAAAAAAGCCAGTCCAATTTGTCTTTAAAATTTTCTTTCAGGTATCTCACTCACTGCTTTTATTACAGAACTGCAACTTATTGTATGTTCTATAAATACACAACAAAAGTCAGGGTTATTTGTGGAAGTGGTCCCCCTGAAAGTGGTGGTTTATGTAAGATAAACATAAAGTGGCAGGCCTAGGGTTTAATTCAGATGGCTTTTCTTGAGGTGCTAATGCCAACAGCATTTGTGTGGTTTTAAAGTGTGGGTGATTTTGTGTATTTACAATATTTTTTAAGAAAAAAAAAAGATTTAAAAAGATTATTTCCCTAGAAATCAAGTATTCCAGTAATCAAAGATTAATCAAAAATTACTTTGGATGTTCCTTACTGGTTTCTTACTCAGGACACATTAGAAAGTGTCCTGAGAAAAGAAGATAATAATAATAATAAATATATATATATAAGTTAGGGAAAATTTCCTCCAGAGACCTCAAAAATGAAGTAATTACTTCTTTGAAATGTTAAGCAAGAGAAGTGAGCCCTGAAGAGAGGAGTGGTGGGTTTCCTTGCTTGAGGAAGAAGAGTGTGTCTTCCCCTCCCAGCACAGAACACAGAGCCAGCTCCCTAGTGCAGGCTGCTGCAGAACATGCAGGAAATATACAGGTGTTGCAACAAGGGAAATTACAACTACATGAAAAGAAAAGCTGCTTCAGCATCAGCGGTCAAACCCTGGAACATTTTTTTTTCCACAGAGTTGGTGGTATCTCCAACCTTGGAGACAGTCAAGCAGCTGTATCTGTTTGACTGCTCTAATCAGGGCATTGGACTAGAGGCCTCCAAAAGTCATCTTCAAACTAATTTTTTTCTGTGCTATTAAGTAAACATTGTGGGGTTTTTTTTCCCCTTTATTTTTTTTTATTTTCTATTTTGAGCTCATTTTTGTATTATAGCCCTAGAATGCTAAAGATGGCAGGGATTCTGCCCCCACAGCTGAAACAGATAAATTGCTATGAAGTCCAGATTTTAAGTTTTTAAACATTCAGTCTGTAGAAGTCTGATTCTCATTTGTCAGTTTGCTGAGCCATCTACAAGGCTCTGCAAGAGTATAAAATCTAATTGAAGGATTTATGAAAAAATCTGACAGACAGGATAAGCTGCTATTTTAGAGACAACCATGAATATCATACAAAAACTCTTGATAGTTTGATAAAGAAAAAACTACTATATTTTATATGGATAAAAGGTAAGAGAACATAACACTAAGAAAAAACAAATAACAACAAAAAAAGTAGCCATGAAAAGATATATTTATTTTTAACTTTCTCATAAATCAATTTGTCTTAATTGGTCTAAAACCTGTGGAACATTATTTTGCTTCTATTTTTTTTTTTTTTGAACTTCTGCTTTAAGGGTGCACTTTAAGACAGAAAGAAATAAAACCTTGATAATATCCATACTACCTGGTATGTTATGTATTTATTCATGTAGTAGTGTTGTGTGACATTTTTTCAATATGATCATCAGGATAACAATGGCAGTGATGATTTCTTACTTGCAAGTATAACGTAAAGTTATAAAATTACTAATTTAGAAGTATCAAGATAATCTGCACAACTTTGGCTTTTGGATAAAATTCTGGCATATGTACACAGGGATACTTTTATGAAAAATGAAAAGTCAACACAGGTAATTAGTAATGCATCTATTGCTCTGAATACTTAATTTATATCTATAAAAATCTCCATGTTAGTTGAGAATAGACACTCCAATTGGTTTTATATCTCTCACTTCCAATTCAAAATACATATATTACCTAAATATAGACCCTATATATATACCTAGAACTGAGGAATATACATTTCCTTAAAAAATGATTTTCATCTTCAGTTTTTCCTTTCATTTAAAAAAGGATAAACTAGGAAATACTTTGCACATTTTCAAACAACTTTCTACACTTCTATGGGAGCTTAAGGTGTAAATAAATGATTCTCTTACAGTATTTCTGACAAGCACAGATGTTTCTTTCTAATCACATTTCTAAAGGCCTCTTAAATAAGGAGTGGGATTTTTTAAATCTAATTTTCACCATGTGAAACTACTTATTAGTAGGCTTATTTTCTAGATTTCCCCTATGGTCAATAGAAAAAGGGAGAAGCATCTACTGTTTTAGATATTTAGCATTCTAATGTAAAAACAGCTAAAACTTCCTCCCAATGTGTCAATCTTTTATTCCATTGAGAGAAGAATCCTATATGAATACCTTATGTTAGACATCTAACTTCTGTCCTAAGAAGGATGTTGTTCTGACTCACTTAGCAGTTTATATCTGCCTTAAAAGGAGAGGAAAATGACTTTTTTTTTTCTGATAAATCAAATTGTCAGAATAAGAACTCTCAAATACAAAGATACCTTTTCCCTGGGGCAAGGTTAAAAAATAGCTCTATAGGAAGGAAGCTGGCAAAGAAAAATCTCAGCACTGGATATAGCTATAAAACCAGTGCATTCCTTGACAGTAAACATATATTAACCATATATTCATATATGGATTCCTTAATCACAGATTTCTGTAACTTCTGCTCTTCTCTCATCATTCCTTTTCATTTGCCTGACTCTAGTATAGCACTGCTACTGTTGAGAACAGTGGTTTGCTTGTTTACTTGATCTGGGAAGGGGGTCCCCAACTACTATTGTCTTAGTGGGATGTGTTCTCTAATGCATTCTCTACTCTCTATTTGCCTCTCTATTGTGCTTATTTTGAATATTTATTTTCATGATATTTCTTTAGTCTATCTTTCTCTCTTTTTGAGAAACTTTATATATGCTATAGATGCTACTGCTTTATAGATGAAGTGTATATTCCAGCACAAGAACCTTGTTCTTTTTTTTCCCTCTTATTAGATGATCAGGGACCTCAATCACCACTTTCGTCATTCCTCATGAAAATATGTGGAGTAAGCAAAAAAACAAGAAAAGATTAAGTCCCTTATAACCTTTCTGCAATATCTGCAATGCAGTCTTGAAAGCTTTCTACAAAATCAATGGAGTTGGCTATCACAGTTCACCATAAATTCATATATAGGCTCTAAAGCTCTTTGTCACAGATTAATAGCTAAATTAAGGGAAAGGTTTGTTGATTTGTATTCTATTAGATTCATTTTAAGCTCACAGTTAAGAAGAGACTTCTGGTCATATTGTCTTTTATAACTCGTGAAGCGTGATCAGTAAATATAATGTGCTAAATTGCTACATTTCAGATGAGAAAAAGACAAATTCTAACAGGCTTCTATTACCTAGCACATGCAGTATGATAGGTGCAAAACAGTTATGTGTAGGATAAGACCATGTCTAGCTGAGGGTTTTTTGCTAATGAATACAGAAGGATAGAAAAAAATATATTCTTTCTCTAGTGTGGAATAATTGCAATGCAAACAGCCAATACACTTATGCCACTCTAAAAGACTAAAGAACACCACCTTCAGGATGGGCGCTTAATGAGACGTGATGCTCAAATTAGTATCAGGAGATTATGTGTTAGGGCACAGACAAGGCATAAAGACCTTGCCTACATGCTCAAGATAGGAATATAGAGTATATATTCACATTAATATTTCAGGTCACATTCTTTTTTTTTTTTTTTTTTTTTAAATAAACTCCAGATGGCACCCGTTTTCTGTGACTTGATTTACACTGGAACACTGTTCTGGACACCAGGAAAAAGATCAGCAATTTCAAACTACAGATCAGGTCTGCTGTTCAATGCTACTCACTAATGCAGAAATAACCAAAGGACACACAAGTGAGTTTTAATATATACCTACAATATAATCCCTAATACAGACTTTGATCACTAGCTCTCCATAGAACGTTTGCTAATATACAGGCACAAGACACTAATCTGACTTCATTTCTGCTACATGACTTGAAAGAACTGGGGTAGAATCTTGTTTTGGAGACTCATAGGAGACAAGCCGTATAGGAAGCTTGTTTGTGCTTGTTGTAAGAGCATACGTACATCTACCAGATCTTTGCAGGTGGTCATTAAAGACTGAGAAGAGAGAATTTCTTTAAATGTTATCACTGAACTGCATGTGACTGTACAAGTGCTCCTACAGAGCTACAAGACTCTTTAAAAGATCATGCAGTCATATCCAGGAAGCATTTAAACACAGATCTGGCTAAAAATTTCCTTGATGTGAAGTACTGATACGTTTTGATATATTCATAGTAAGGAACCAGCATACATTTTATGCAATAAATTAGATAACAAAACTATTGCAAGTTGGTCACTCCTGCCTCATAAAAGGTAAGATTATGCCAGAGTCCAAAGCTTCCTGAAAGATCATGAGCCCAGGCAATTTCATATGATTGCTATGTCCCAGGTTGACAGCCCCATTTTCATTCAGGAAGGGTACTCTGAATCATGGCATTGGAAGTGTGACAAAGCAGTAATAGACTCCACTAATGCTCTAATCAATACAATAAATGTCCTAGCATTAGGATCAATATAATAAACATCCCAGGATTTTTCATTGTTAACCGTGACTTCTAAATTAAATTTCTTAATGTATGCCAAGTCTAGCATCAGTAAAGAGCCTAAATCCCAACCCTGATTTTTTTTTTTTGATTAATTTGTTCATATCTTCTGGAGAGAGGAGAGAGAAGAAATTCACTTGTTTATTAAAAAAAAAAAATTTTTTTTCTTTTTCAGGGCACCAATTAAAGGCAAAAGTTTTAGGCTTAACAAATTTAAAATCATTCAGAACTTGAAACATGTCAAACAAATTTATTCCTAAACCAAGATAGTCTTAAACAATTCAAAACAACATATACTTCTAAATTCCTATCACTTTAGATCAAAACCTTTTACAATTGTTAGTCGTCCAAACTTTCATTAGCCTCAACCAATCCTGACAGACTACAGCTTCAAAATTCAGACTATCCCAAACCCCGTGTAATATCTTTACCCATATGGACAC